TCAGTAAAGAAATTTTTGCTAATATCCAGTCTAAACCTCCCCTGGTGCAACTTGAGGCTATTTCCTCTCGTCCTATTGCTGGTTACTTGGGAGAAGAGACCAACCCCCACCTCACCACAACCCCCTTTCAGGGAGCTGTAGAGAGCGATGAGGTCTCCCCTCAGCCCTCTCTTCTCCAGACTGAACACCCCCATTTCCCTCAGCTGCTCCCCATCAGACTTGTTCTCCAGACCCCTCACCAGCTTTGTTGCCCTTCTCTGGACACGCTCCAGCACCTCAACGTCCTTGTTGGAGTGAGGGGCCCAACACTGAACACAGGACTCGAGGTGCAGCCTCACTGGTGCCGAGTACAGGGGCACAATCCCTGCCCTGCTCCTGCTGGCCACACTAGTGCTGATACAGGCCAGGATGCCGTTGGCCTTCTTGGCCACCTGAGCACACTGCTGGCTCATGTTCAGCTGGCTGTCGACCAGCACTCCCAGGCCCTTTTCTGCTGGGCAAAAACTGATGACTAGTTACAGGCAGCCCAGGTGAAATTCTGCTTAAATCAAGCAGATTAACTCTTCCAGTTCTAAAAGGGAGGCATGTAACTCTGCTTTTAAGGTGACTTGGGGATTTGAATCAAAAACTGTGAATCTGTTTTTTATTTACCTTTTATTTTTTTAATGGGTACACAAAAATGCCTGCTTTTTATCTGTCAGGGTAAGTGTGTCAGCCAGAGAATGACTATGCCCAAGCTGGGCAGGTAGATGTTGTGGGGAGGGTGACTGGAGGGCTGGCCTGGGCTCTGGCCACCCATGTGGGCTGTGGCATCCCCCATCTGCCTGAGGGAACAGCCTATCCAAGTGCTCATGCTTGCGAGATATTTAGCATAAAGGCACTACAGTATGGTCTGTGTGGTTTCACAGTGCTTTTGAGTGACGTTTTCTCTTTAAGCCCCTTCCCATGGGAAACATGGCTAAATTAGCTGAGAGTCTTGGGGTCTAAGAAGTAGGAAAGGAGGTTTTCTGTTATACTTTTCTTTTTACCTAGTCAGAAAGAATCAACTTTTTATTAAAACTGAGGCACAAAGGAACCTGTCCTTTTAAGTCCTATCCGTTGCTGTGGGAGCCCACAGCTAAAAGCCTTGTGTTTAATTCCAAGTGATTATCGTTGTGTTTTGCATTTCATGCATGCTACCTGACACCAGGGTCTCCATGAGGTTCAGGTGGCAGGTGCTGGGTGGATTCGTGGGCAAACCTATCTATCTGGCAGAGAAATTCAATAGTGTGCCTCACCCGACAGGCTGGCAATGATAGAGCTGGGAGCGGCGTGCACGCTCCTTTTCAATCCAGAGGTCCACCTGCTCCTTAGCCCCTTGAATCCTGCGGCTGCTACTCTCCTGGAAAGCAAAGCTCAGAAACCATCTCCTTCCCTTGTTCTGGGTCCCACCAGCAGATAGCATGGCTAAGGAGACCTCTCCATTGTTGCGGAGGGGAGTGACCTTGCTGGGAAAGCCCTCATCTCCCAGGGACTGCTGCAGCACCGTGGTCTGGACGGCGGCGTGCTGGGAGCACCGAGCCCTGGCCTGTGCTGTCTGTGGTCAGCTGCCAGGATGTAACCAGCAGGATCAAGCCAGGGTGCCGACCTTGCAGAGAGGGACTCCTGTGCTGCAGCAGCTGCCCAGGCCCCTGGAGGCCTCTGCGGGCTCAGGGCATACAGGCAGGTGAAGGGCAAGGCAGTGCTGCTACCCGCC